ACAAAGAAGTATCCTGCTGAGCCCAGGCTGGTGCAAGTCTCATTGCAGCCCCAAGGGTAGGAGAAAAAAGTATTTCTGGTCAGAAGCCCTCATCCCTCCCAGTGTGCAGTCCAGGATGTGCTTGACAGCTCACGCTAAGTCATGCCCTCTGTTAGCAGTGCTTATCCTTACCCATAATTCATTCTGTTAGGACTGTATTGCTGAGATGCAGCCCATCTGTATGCGTAGATAATAGCAGTGGTACTCTGTCAGTGTTCATGGGTTATTTCAGACATCTTGGGCCATTTCTGTGCCTGTGTTGGAGAGTTTGCTGAGAACTGATTCTACTTCTTCAACTGAGGCTGTCATTTGGAAGTGAGAGAGACAGGTCCTGGGACAGGACAGGGATTCTTTAAAAATTGATGGAGAGGTGATCCTTCGCCTGTGATTGGCAGGAAGGCGTGCTCCGGCCTGTGCTAATTGCTATGTACTCAGGTAAAGTTAGGTCAGGAAGAGGTAGGAAGGGCCTAGAGGCACATTTATAGTTCTGCTTCAACGTTTGCCAGTCCTGGGTGCTGAGAGGCCTAGGTTTTAAGCCTTCTGTTAAGTATTTTTGTTTACTGCTTTTTTATCTCTAAAACAAAAGAAAGTGGCCTACTCTGTGGTCTGAGGGTAGTGGCATGGGTCTTACCTTCATCATTTCCTTCAGGTGCTACAGAATTTTAGTGAAATACACAAAAAGCATCTGAGGCTCATTTTTCCTGTACCCGCTGGAGGTGGCACAGGGCTTGGCCAGCAGCTTTCTGGTCTACTCCCTTCAATTTCCCTTTGCTCCCGTTCATCCCAATGGACCAGGATGGTTTGCCTCAGTGTCCCCCCTGGCTATCCAGCAGTGTCTTCCCTGGCTGTCAAATTGCCACTCTCCTTCCAACATTAAGTACAGCCAGCCCATGAGGTGCCTTCCCCCGACTCCTGCCACTTCAGGCGGTATCATTGCCTTTTTGACGAGAGGGCTCCCACTGCTCTAAGATCAGAAAAGGAGGGGTCTCTTATTTACATAATCAACTTTTATAGCAAGTTTTTAGCCCTGCCCCTCACTGAAACAGGTCTATAGCAATCCTCAGCCACTTCTTGCATTTTGGTCTAGGAGCCTCCTGGGAACTGACCTCTATGCTCCAGCATAGAGGCTGCTAAAATAAAGGCTTCTTTTGTTATTCCTGTGAACCTGCTTATGATTTATTTCTTGCATAGTGTGGGCTCCAACAGTCCAGTAAATCTCTTTGGGATCTGTCTTTTTAATCCTTAGTAGTATGGCAACAGCTACTCTTTCTAAAGAACACAAATAAACACACAGAGCTGTTAACACTGAATTGCTCCTGAGACCCTTGGCCAGTGAACCCCAGCAGCAGAGCCCAGCACCCAACAGAGTGGACCTATGATGTCAAGCACAAGTTGCCATTGGGTGGTGGTGACATGCAACAGCAAAGACCAAAAGCTGGCTGTGTCAAGCGTTGACACCCAGCACTACCTGGTGACATTAGAACTGCTATCAGAGCTTCCTTTTGGCAATTCACGGTTTTCATCTGACTCAAGCAAGAAGAAGCAGTTGCTGTTTATCCAGGGCTTGAGCAGGTAGGTTTATACTCCCCACAGTCCAGAAGTTAGCCCTACTATTGTTCTCCCTTCTCACAAACATTCAAGGAAGGCTCTGAATCCCTAGCAGACTCAGGTAGCCTGACACCAGGACTTTCCTGCTTAATCCCATAGATTCACTGCTTAATCCTTTCTGCTGGTTATTCACTTTGCAATCCTAAAAGAAGCTCAAGGAGGGGCAGTGACTGATGGTTTTGGTTTCTGACAAATGGTTAGGAGATGCCAGGGCAGTCAGACCCCATTGGAGTGCTCACATGCTGGAAGGTAGAGGCAAGGAATGAGGACTCACCACCCCAGAAGGCCACCACACCTTCAGCTGTCACAGGGTCAGCCTACAATAGCACTGGATAGTGACTCTGTCTTTCCAAAGCCCCATGGGACTTTGGGTACTAGATCAGAAAAGACCAAAGAAGTCCCTAGACCAAGAAGTCCTAACCTTTTTCCAAGAAAAGATTTCAAGGTCAGGAAGGATCCCGACTTTGAGCCAGCCCTGTTTCCCAATCACCACGTCTGACTCCTGTCTTGGCCATAGAAAACCATTACTTTAGGCCATTCACACTAAACCACTTGTTCCAGCATAAGAGAAAGGCTTCTGAAGACTCTTGAGTGAATGGTATGAGCACTCACTATAAATTCTGCTTGGCACTTGCTGCCCTTGGTGGATCTGCGGGGTTCCCAGCCCTCAGAAGGCTGACTGGGTGGAGAGTCTGACGCGCACACCTGCAACTCTACTGTGACATCTAAGAGTGCAGTGCAGCCATGAAAGACTAGCTACAGCATCACACTTGAGACCCCATGAAGTGCCAGGTCTAAGGGGACAGTGCTCCATCGAAGCCCCAGTCAGAGGAGGTGATCAAACAAAAGTATAATGACCATGGCCAGGCTCATCTGGGAGTCACCTCCTGTCTCCCAGAGCTCTTCACCAACTCATCAGGGTACAGCAATCTTTGCATGTTGGTGTAAAGGGTTAATTTCTCCAAAGGCTATATATTGTTTGTAAAATTGATGAATGTGATATTTTATATAATTTTAGAAACATGAATGAATCTTGTAAGTTATCTTACTACAGAGGATGTGTGTTAATTACAGGTCATATCATGACTCCTGGGACCTTCTGATTCTACAAAATTTCTAAAATCCTTTCATAATAGTGTCTCAAGGCCGTGCATTCCAGAAATGTAAGAAAAGTCACATTTATTAAGTAAATTTAAAATACCAAGCTACTATTCAAGAGCATTTTTATCTTCCAAAAAAATGAGTCCCTCCAACTGTGGCACTGGTGTTCCCTAAAAGACCCATCTTGTGGCCGAAGCAAGGAGTGACACTGTGTCCTTCAACGTCACTTGTGCTTATAAGCGGTACACAGGTCAAGCCCTTGCTTAACAAGATTCTTACTGAGCACACATGTGACATTTCACTTTTACTTGACATAGAGTAAGGGAGCCACTCTCTTCATATTCTGGATTGTGAAACAGAATTCCATGGAGCTGATTGCACGTGTATTGAATGGTTTCTTAAAGGTCAACCTGCGATATAAAGATTAAGAGACCATGTTTCCTCAAAGACTGAACTCTGCTCAGATGCTGAGCGAACTAAGTGCAGAGCCGTTGCCCTTCCACGGTACCATGGACACGACACATGAGCACCTGTCCTGCAATTGTTGACAGGGCTTCGTCACCGGCATCTGTTTGCTCTTCATTACTCAAAATCTGCTATAAAACTCAAACTTTAGAGAACATTCATGTTTCTAGATACTAAGAATTTAGATATTATCACTGTTGATGATCTGACTTCCAAAATACATTTCAAGTTTTAGAAGAAATTAATAGAATAACTTGGAATTAGTAGGCATGGGAGGATGAGAGGACAATCTGATGGTTCAAAGAGTGAGCCTAGGGCTAGAGAGATAGCTTGGCAGTCTAAGTGCCTGCCTGGCAAGCACAAGGAGCTGGGTTCGGTCCCCAGTACCGCATGCTATGCCAGCGTTGGAACCCTGGGCATGCAGTGCCAGCAACCAAAATCAGGCATGGTGGCGCAGCCCTGTAATCCCAGTGCTGGGGAAACTGAGACAGGAGGACCACTACAAGTCCAAACTGCATAGTGAGACCCTATATCAAAAATCAATAAATAAATTAATTAAAATTTTAAAAGTGAGCATAATTGTGTAATGAAAAACTTGTTTTAAATGGAATTGAGTGATTTCTTGTGGTCTCTGTCTTGACCACTCTGTAGTAAATACTCAGATTAGTCTTGCGCTGGCTATGCCACAGGTACCAGCGCAGATTTCTAAGTCAGATTGTTAAAAAACAATGATAAGTAAGGTCACCTAACTTTGGCATCTTCCTAAACAATGTATCCTCTCTCTAAAGACTGCTCCTACACACTCTGCTAAAAGAAATTTTTCTCCTTTTGGCTCTTATTCCACCAAGAGAAGAACAGTGACCATTTCCCAGCCTCTTCGATGTTCAACCTGGCCAACCTGTAGAGCAGTGAAGCTCAAAATATTTTCAGGCCCCTTTCCTAGGAAAATGTCCTACTGGAAAAGCAGGTGGAGTTCACTTTGGTGTCTTTTCTATTTTCCTGGTTGCCCAACTATCTTCTCAGGAAATAGCCAGTTTCACAGGACCTGCCCTCAGAGGGCTTCCCAGTGTCCCAATCTCACATATGACCTGGTCTCCACTCAGAAAGCTCATGCCTGCAAGCCACGCTGCTAGACCAGTGTGTCCTGCTGCTGTGCCACGTGCCCCTAGCTGACCAATGACACCCAGGTCTCAGTAACTATGCCAAGGGTCAGCCGATGGAGTGGTTGCTAGAAGTTGCTAATGTTTCATTTTCATTTTGATTCATTTGATAACAATCCTGTGAAACTGAAAATAATGCTCATATCCTCCTTAACAAAGACGGCATAGAGCCACAATTTCTATTTTACCTGATCTTCTCACATCTAATGTCTTCCCACTCCAAACTTCCCCATACATAGAACCTTAGGAATGAGCCTGAGGATTATGTATCAGTCTACTAAACACCATTGGGTTTGAATTATATGACGGAAACTAAGGCTCCAGAAAAAGCAAACAAAACAGAATAAAACAAAACAGGTCATTTTTCCCCAAGTGTCTTCTTTTGGCTCCAACTCAGGTCCTGAAAAGACAAGTTCCAAATCTCTCTGTACCTAGGCGTCTTCACTATAAGGTAGAATAGAGGTACCTGGTCACTCCTGAGGATTATGGTATCAAAGGTGCTAAAGTGCTTTGAGCTCATCAAAGCAAAAATGTGACTGAAACTTTTATTGTTTCAGATGAGATCAGGTTGGAGAGATTCTGAGCTCACAATCGTTCTACTACTCTGAGCACTACCTAGACGGGCAACACTCATCTCCCCCACTCTTGCAAGGAAACACCAACAAGACAATATCCATGAAGAACAGTGTCTTGGGATACCAAAGCTGCCACAAATGACAGTCACTTTACTACACTGGTGGTCATAGAAATTAACCAGTTACTGCTCAGGGAGCTGACGTGAAGTGGAACAGACACAATGACAAAATGACACCAAATGGAACTTAGAACAAAATTCCATCCCTGGGAGCATACTCCACAGGCTTTCTCTCCGCCTGCTTCTGCTGGGATCGGGCTTTCTGGTAGAAAAAGATGATGACCACAGTGAGTACATTTAGGAGAATGATGAGCAGAATGAGCCAAAACGAGTATCCATAGCTGTGGGTCGTTCCTCTGATCGTGATCGATGGATAAAGCTTCAGGGACAGCTCTTCAGAAAGTTGATTGGATTGTGTGTTTCCCACAAACAGTACCATGGTCAGGAAAACGGAGGATGCTGAAAAGAAGATTAAATTTCACATATGACTCAGAGATATGTTTTTTTAGCAGCCCTTATTTTCTTAATGGAACCTGTACTCCGTGGAATATTATTGCCCACCTACACTTATTTCAAACATTGGAAAAAATAAAAAAACAAGGCAAGACACAAAGTGGATTTGAGGCACGAAATGTCATGTATGGCAGCGTCTGACCAGCAACAAACCTCCAAGCTGAGACTCCTTCTGAAGCAGTCACTGTGCACGGGGCCTACAAATATCCCCTTTGCTAGGGCAATGCGTGAATTAGGGAGCTGAATCAAGAGGCAAACAGGTGACGGGATAGGAGAGCCCACAGGGCATGTTTCTAGAGAGGCCTGGGTGGCTGGGCAACACCCAGAAAGGTGGAGGAAGCCTAGTAGCACCAGAGACAGAGGCAGCGGCCTCAACAAAGACACGGGTGGGCAGCGAGCCAGCGGCATCATGGGTGGAGAGAGGTCCTCAGAGTCCTAAGCTCTGGATGTGGAGCTAGGACCATCCCAAAGAGCAGAGAATGCTGGCTTGGGATTTTCATTTCATTCTTCCTGGCTCTGTGGGGATATGGGAAAGGAACTGCAAAGAAAAATTTCAGATTTGTGGTTGGTTGTTAGGGCAAAAGGTAGACTGGGGGGGGGCAGGTGATAGCTAAAGGATGTAGGTTTTCTTTTCATGTTGGTGAAAATATTCTAAAATAGGCTGTGGAGATGTTTGCACATGTCTAAGAAGATGCTAAAAACCATTGTATGCTGTCTCTTCATCGGCTGAACTGTACAGCATGGGACCTGTACCTCAATAAAGCTTGTTAAGAAGGGCTAGGAGGAGGACGAGAAGGAGGATGCTCAGGCCTCATAATAAGCCAGGTGAGCCCTGTGACCCAGGCAGGGTCAGACAGAGCACGGGTGGACTTGGGAATCCCAGGACAAATGTGCTTCAGGATTCATCTGCTGACACATACAGGATGTGCTGAGCCCAATGGACATGCTGGCGTCAAGCTCGCCTGGATATTCTCCAAACGGTCCTCCGAGAGCCCCTAATTAAAGGGGTTTTATGTGAGAAGAACGTTTTAACAGTCCTTGATGTCAGACTTCATTCTCCAAATAATGGTTCTATTTCTTAATAATTTGTATGAACAAAAGCCCTGCTCCTCTGACGCTCTCCAGGCACCACATATGCCTTAATTATCCTTCATTTTCCTCTTGTGAAGTTTCTTATAAAAGCTTAATCATAAAGGGGCAGCATGAACACAGGGTTAAATGCATTTTTGAAAAGTAGGCTACTGCCTAGAGCTTTGAGTTGCATTGGGAGGGGCCAGTGCTCAGATGCCCTGCGGACACGGACCCTTTAAGGACAGGCTGCCAGGAACCTTAGGCTTCCACCGTTTTCTGTGGTTCAACTTCTCCAATTCTGTGGGACAGAAGGGTTTGTGAGGGACTTTAAAAGGCTCTAGAGTAGATGAAGAGTTCCTAATGCTGGCTCCGGCCCTGGCCTGTCACTGCTGGACCATGTGACCCACCTCATTGCTTGCTGAGTTCCTGAGCTAAGACACAGATATACGCAGAGCTGATAGTGTGTGACATTCCACAGTGGCATGCCCTGCAGCTGTGGCCAGGCTGCACCAGGCCAGCATGGTGCAGAGGTGGGGAGGAAGGTCCAAGACCCTGAGACCTGAGACTCACACAAGCCGAGAAACCACTTCCTCTTCTGCCCTCTTGGACCCCACCCATCTTGCCAGCTCAGGAGTACATGAGCAAGCCCATCCCACAGCAGTTGACACAGTTGCCTTTGGTGCCTCCCAGAAGTCCCACCAACCTGGGCTCACTTGTCACAGTAGTGCCACAAGGCCAGGACGCTGCAATGGCTTCTCTCTATATAAGCCATTCTGGGCCAGCAAGCTTACAGTTTTCACAAAATTCTGCAACACTTAGAGTGAGTGAAGAAAACCAGGAGTCCCCAGAGAGCAAGCTGAGAACAAAGTCTGGCTTGCAAAGAACTGGGACTCAAAGGGCTGGCCACATGGGGCACTTAGAGAAAGCTACGGCTGCCAGAGCTTCCCTCCCGGATCCTCGTAAGAAGGCAAGTCTCCTGACACAGAAATCTCAGACACTTCCAGTCCCGCCTGCCTTTAGAACTTGCCCCTGGGAGTGTGGATATGTGTTGGGGTGGGTGGTAGAGAGCAGAAGGGCTGTGGAGATGGCTACTCAACCTCTTCACTCATGCTTTCCTCGATGGCCTGCATGAGACCTCTGATCGGTGCCAAATCAGCCTATATTCAGCTGTGGAAGAAGAGATGTGGAGCTTGAGGGAAAAAGGCCCTGAGTCCTGCAGGCCACAGAGGTAGAAATGCCAGCCACAAAAGGCCTCCACCCTGACACTGGCTTCTGCTTCCTTCCTCTTGGGGGACTGGCTTCCGTCCCCACATGCCTCTGAGGAGGAGCAAGGACTGCGCAGCCCAAGCTCCAGGGTGGGCGAGTGTCCTCTGCCAGTTGGTGGACTGATAGTTTTGTCAGCTCTTCTGGCTAACAAGAGTGGTCAAACCATAGAAGAGTGTGATTCTAACTATCTAAGGAATCTTTGTCTCTTTTTTAAAAAATGTATTTAGTACAAAGTCTATAGGGTCTCACTACACAGATCAGACTCATAGTGATCCTCCTGTTTTCAGCCTCCCAAGAGCTGGGATTACAGGTGCGTGCCACCACACCCAGTCTCAACCCAGTTGCCATCTCAGCACCCCCTGGGGGTGGGGCCGACATGCAGGGGATTGAACCCCAATTCCTGCACCAGCCTACGCAGGCACTTTAGTCTGCTGAGCTATCCAGCCAGCCCTAAGGAGTCTTCCTTAATTGCTGAGAAATAATAGGTTTTTCCTCCTGGAGCTGCTCAGAGCTTAGAACCTTTCAGAGGATGGAGCCAGCTGCCTAACAGTGGAACAAACGCTGGGGAGAATCCAGAGGTACAGAGATGGGGGCAAGCAGAGCTCTGAGTACATGAGCCAAGACCCTAAATCTAGCATTGCTCAAAGAATCTTCTCTCAGGTTCTTAGCTGCATGAGCAAAACCAAAAATAATCTACTTTTTACCCTGGCAATAGGTGCCAATAGGTTGGTCTTTGGTTGGCCTTTGGTGAAGTATAATCACAGCAGAGGGAAGGAACCATGGTTTTTGGGTGAATATATTTGCTTTGTGACCAAATGACCTAACCTTCGTACTCGATGCTACTATAAAATGACAAGAGAGAGTAGTGTCCATTCCGTGGGACACTGTAACTTTCCTAGAATGGGTGCCATAAAATTGGGGGATTTGATTTCACCTCTAGGAAACAGAAGAAGCACAAAACATAAAGCCAGTCCTATAGGGATGTGATTAAACCAGCCTGACTCTCACCCAAGTCCTTGGTGAGGAGTGAACATGTAATGTTACTGAAAATTCAGGTTTGCCTGGGAAAGTATAGCTGCTACCTGTAGCTCTGATTGGATGACTGAGAACACCTTGAGCATTTAAGGAAGCGTCCTTCTTCCTGCTACCCATGCTGGCTGGGGCTGGGCTGGGCCTGGTTTGATCATCTCAGTTCTATATTCAGTAACATTATCCTCCTGAGAAGTGTGGTATGTTTAGACCGTCCAAACAAACCAGTGCTGTAGCCAGCCCCTCTACTCTCCAGGCAAGTGGTAAAAATGACCTTCCATTGCAGGCATGAGAGGAAGCTGCCCACAGTTGCTCCTTCGAGACTTTCTGACACCTCAGTATCCAGAGCACCTTCCCTGTGCTAAAGTGCACCATGGGAATTTATAGGAAGCCCACTCTGGAACCATCCCCTTAGTTGGTCAGGGCTTTTCTCCCCAGATGGAGTTGTGAGGAAGGACAAAGTGGAGAAATGTGGCTTCCAGGCACGGGCAAAACACTGAAGGCAGAGGGGGTGGGAGAAAGGCCTCTTTGCCAGCCTGACCCAGCTTCTGGGCAAACATGTTAGCCAGGGAGGCCTGGCAAAACCCAGTGAAAGTCCAAGCTCCTGTGACCAGAGCTAGGATCTGCTTCCCACCGAGGTTCTGTCTTCTACTCCAACACCTGCCCTTGAAACAAAACCACCTAGCAACACCCTCTCCCTGTGTAGCCCACAAGAAGGTGCTGGCTAGAGTCTCCTAGATGACATTATCTGTGGCTCTTTCATACCTGTGCATCTCTAGAGCCCAAGTTTGCTCCTGTTTCGTGAAAACAAATAAGTGTGCATGTGTGCAAGCGTGAACGCACTTCTATTCATCATAGAGAGCCTCGTGTGGGGACCAGCACACAGAAGGAGCCCAGGGGCTGTTCTACGGATTCACTCACTTTATTTGATTTTTTACATCCCATTCTCAAAACCAAAGGCTGGTTTATCTGTTTTAACATCCTTCATCATCCCACCTCTTACCTATCACCAGTGCACTTAGAACAGTTGTTTCCAGACATGCTTAATAAATGACAAAAATAAACTTCAGTCCCCAATACAGGACCCAGCTCATGGTAGGCCCTTATCCTTTTCCATGGCGGGACATGATTGTATGTGTTCATGTGTGTCAGTGAGGGGAAGGGAGATGCACAGCGAAAGGATGCGGTTCTCCGCAGAGCGCAGGCCCCTCGGGATTACTCACCGCTGATGCCATTCCAGGTGTACACCCCGGTTGGGCCCAGGAAGGTCTGGTAGGGGTTGCTGATGCTGTTGTAGAAGGTGAACCCAGAGCTCATCAGTGAAGCGCACAAACTGAGGACCAGGAACAGGACAGTGACCAGTTGCAGAGATCTGGGAGAAGAATTCTCCAATATCCGGAAAACTAAAACAAGGTTTGGTAAGTGGAGAGCAAAAGAAGGCAAATGTCAGCCCCTGCGTGGTTTCTCATATTCTCTCTTCTTAAATACCGGGATGAGCAGCCGTCATTTATCAGTGACAGATGCTGGACATATGTGAGACCTGCCAGAGTAAGGCCCCAGTCCTCACTCAGGGCTGGTCCCTAACTCTGTAACGTACCCTCTCAGTGTCTCCACAAGGAAGCAGAGTTAGTGCTCAGAGACAAAGGGTATGGCTAGGATGAAAGTGCCAGAATCCCAGAAGGCCTGAGGCCAGAACTCACGAAGAGGGAAGTGGCCAAGAACAATCACAGAAACGCAATGGCTGGACATTGATCTCAGTTTTAAGATGACCCCTACCCCAGCAAAGAATGTCCTCAGTACCTGCAACTTCCACAGCGAGGACACTGCAGGCCCCTTGCCTTTGGAGGGAACCTAGTAAGCCAGGGGAGACCACCCAAGAGAGCCTGGGAGGAGGAATGGCTAAAGGGGGCAACCAGCGGGGCAGGAGCCTCAGGCTTATAGAGGGGCTAGGACAGTGACTCTGGCTCACACAAACCAAGGTGTCTGCTGGCCCAGATCCCATTTCTCTGGGGCCAAAGACAACTCAAGGTCCCCGGGGCTTGCACCCTGCAGGGAGTCGGAAATCGGGCCCTGGATGAGCTGCAGACTCCTTTCCAGGTAAATAGCATTTAATAATGATCGCGTATTTCTTGAGTGCAAAGGAGCTCCAGACCTGGGTCCACAGTGAAGGAAACTGCAGCAACAGTGCCCTGGGCCCTGAGCTGTCGTCTCGCCGCACGGCTTCCACTCCCCGGCAGCCCTCATCTGGCATTTGCTTCCTCCAGCTGCTTTTTGCCACAACACAACTGATCCACCCCAGGTGGACCCAGTCTCACACTTGACCCAGAGCTCATCAGTGAAGCGCACAAATGGGATGCTGTCACCATGTGTCCCCATCAACTCGCCCCTCACCTCAAGTAAAATGTTTACAGGGATGGTTGATGAAGTTACAGGGAAAAAATAGTCTGGGAGAGACATTTCAGAACAATAAGATACACTAAGAAAAAAGTGGAAATTAAGAAGTAGAAGCCACAGAGGATTGAGGGAAGACTAGCAACAGGCTCTTTCCCCCATCGTGTTTCTCAGGTCCCCAGAGAGAGGACTTTGGAGATGTTCACATCTTTAGCCCAATGCAGATTTAAATGACAGAAAGCAGCTAGCCCAGTTTTCCTGTTTCTGTGGCTTTGTGCACAATGGGTTCCCACAGAAGGGCCACCAAGTCTCCTGCAAGGTGCGCTGGCTTCCAGTTCCCTTTCTTTACAAGGTAGTCCCTTCCTCCAGCACCTCCTTTTTCAGCAAGTGGAGCCCAATTGCGCATTCCTGTGATTTTGCCCAGGGCCCCTGACTTTCCCTGTGATACAAAAGTCACCGCTCCTCTCTTGCCCAGCAGATTTTCCAAGTATTTGAGGAGGGAGGTTCCCCCATCAAAGGCACCTGTCAGGCACAGTGCACTTCTGGGGATTTCAGAGCCCTGCAGCCCTTCCCACTGCCATCCCTGCCAACAGTTTAACCTGACGCTATGGCTTACAGTATGCTGGACACTGTCCAGAGACAGGGTGCTAACAGGGTCTGGTACTC